CGAGCTAGGTATTCGGGAAAAATCTAGGGTTTCCTTCCTCCCTCCCCCCTTTAACCCGGCAGGCGGTGGGCCTCCCGGCCACCTTCCGCGCGGTGGCGGGGGCATTTTTTGCCCCCTCCCCCCGTATATCCGAAACAACTGGACGGATCCAGAAAATTCAAACGGTGTTCGATAGTCCTGTCAGATTTGTTGAGGGAAACCTAATTTCATTGACCTCGGGGTCACCGATGACGTCACAGGTCAGGTCAAAGATAAAATGTTTCACCGTTCACGGGGCTTCTAGCCCGCGCCCGGCTGGGGGTCCTGGATTTCCACGCCCTGCTGGGGGGGGGTGTTTGAACACCCCCCCTTGTAACTCGGCTCCTGGGCCACGTAGCGATACGCGGAAGGCGGCGTTCGAAAGAGCGTAAAAAATAATGACGAAATCACTTCGGTCAATTTTTTGGTCAGGTCAAAGGTCAGGTCACCAGAGGTCATTGAAAGCAAAATTTCGCCGATTTCCAGGTCGAATGTCGAAAATTTCCAAGAAGCCAACGCATAACTCGGGAACCAATAGAGCTACAGCGCCGCGGAAAAGTGCATTCGATAGCCCTATTAACGCCCTTTCTGAGTAATTCTCTCAGATTTGACCTAACGTCAACGGTTTTGCCTGCAGGGGGCAAAAACTGCAAAAATAGCCGATTTTTTCGGAAACAGTTTTTCTGCAATAACTTTTGACCCAAGCCTTGTACGAGCTTACTTTCACCGGCATCGTGTTCCCCTCGTCAAGACGCATCGAATGAACTATAACTTGACCTTGAAAGGTCAACTTGAAAATTTGACCTCAGGTCAAGGTCATGACCTGACCGGAAAGGGTCATGTTGCATATCAGTCGATCCGTATCGTCGAGCCGAACACATATAAGGCGTTTTCATCGCTCTAGCATGCCTCTATCAAAAGTTATTTGCGAAAAACTGTTAGATACCATTCGTGACCTAAGATGACCTCAGGGCACAAACAAGGGTCACGGACACCATTTTCATGTTCAGTGGGTCTAAACCACTTGTAATTCGGTGTTTGTGTGTGTTTATAATGTCTTTCGTCCAAAAGAGGCGCATTTCAATTTTCTCCCATTGACTTATAACCCAGCCAGCAATTTTGCTCCGGGCCCAAGCAGGCTCAAGTGCGGAATGCCCGAGATTTTTAGTCGGGCTAAAGTCGGCTAGGGCTTGGGCTAAAGTCGGCGTATGACACAGAAACGCCGACTAAAGCCCATGCTCTGCCGGAGGTATGCCCGCTCTGCGAGCTCCGGGCAGCCGTAGTTTAGCCCTAGTTGAGCGACGATTGGCGTTAGCCCGATTTAAGCCCGAACAGTGAATCCATTTATATAATGGAAATTACTCTGGGCCCGAGCGGGCTGAACTCCGGCAAGCCCACTCTGTGTGCCCTGTCTATCCCGACTTAAGCCATAGAAGTGAATGGGGTTTATACATTGCAAACTGCTGTGGCTTTGCTCGGGTTCGGCTCGAGTGACGGCTCCTGTTTTCTCAAGTCCCGACTTGACTTCATCTTGCTTTTGCTTCACACTGGATCAAGTAGCAAGGAGCAGCCAATGCACTTTCAGCAGGTTGTGTGGTTTTAATGCATATTTAAAATTGCTACGGTCACTAATATGTTCTGTTAACCGGTCATCGAGCATTGCGAAAGGAAAGTAGTGGTTGACTTTGATTGAATGTTTATTTCAAACGACTACAGACACGTCAAATGAAACACAAATACATGAAACAGTGGACTGCAAACTGCAGCAATAATATGGCATGAGTCATGAAAAAGCGCCACTAAAACTATAAATCAATCACAAGACCCGCTAGCCTTCCTCCCCGTTCGGCGTTCATAATACTTGGTTGAACACTTAACCGAAAGCATAAAGTAAGGACAGCAAGTAATCGCTCCTAAGACATAAAGCAATTAGCAAACAATCGTTTATAAAGAACTTCACTCTGGTGAATGGGAGCTTTGGAGGCGTCTGGCTCCTCCACACACACACATCTGCAGTAGGTGGTCGGCCAGCTTTCAGCGTTTCCGTATATGTAGGTAGGTATACCTACCTACTTAATTATAAGCAGGCAGTTTCCGCTAAACCACTTGGCGAGGGCGACAGCGGCGTCCACCCGGTCCTGGTTTGTATAACTATTCCATTTTTTGGAACAATTTCCTCTAATGGTACGTACCTGAAAAAGAGGTCAATTGGTTTAATTTACATTGCATGTTTGCTTCAGCTTGAAAAATAACTTATTGTTGCATTAATACTGTACCAGCACTTCTCATTGATCCGTATAAAATGTTCATTCGAATTTTTCAACGCGGACAGAGAATGAGCGTGCTCGGTGATAAGTAGATAAATATTTGTGTTTTGTATTTCATTTTCCTGGTTCAGAAGTGCTGGTATTTCACAAAGATATACATAAAGGCACAGAATGCGGCTTTTCTGAGCGAGGGTATAAGTCACCAGGCTGAACAGCTATTCAGCTTCATGTTTGATGGCGTGAAACTCAGTCAAAATAATGACGTTTACATACGATCAAGCGCACCATTCAATACAATTACCTACCGTAAAACTCCATGCCAGTCCACTTGATAAGAGCAATGAGCACTATCCCTTCTTCGCGCTGTCACACGCGTCCAAACATCAACCACCAAATGCCCCAACACCGGTGTGTCGTTTCGTCGCACAGCGCGCAGACTGTCACAAACGCTGCACATGATTGGCGCAGAACTGCGCATGCGCGAACAGCCGAACAAGTATGGCTAAACTCCGGCTTTACTCCAGTTAGCCGAAGGACACAGCCAGCTTGATCAGCCCGCGCTCCGCCCAAGTTAAGCCTGTTTTGGATGCGTGGGCAGATATCGGGCTGAGCTACTGCTATCCGCACGTGGGCATAGCTGCGGCATGCCCAAGCTCAGCCCTAGTAAAAAATACATTGGTTTTGATCAAAGTGGGCAAACCCAAGCTAAGCCCAAGCTGCCCGACGTTTGCCACAGTTCAGCCCAAGTGAATTGCTGGCTGGGAATGGGGAGGTCGCAAAATTGACCTGACCTTAGGTCATCGATATCAAAATTCTGAGATATACATTTTGTACATGCTATTGCTCTTAGCAATCACTGAAAGTTTCAAAGCGATCGGTCACTCGGTGTAGCTATGACAGACATTGAAACTTTTTATGAGGTGAGGTCACTTCAAGTGACCTGGTGACCTGACCTTGAATGACCTTGGTCTGAAATTTTCACAACATGTGTAGAATTGATGTATGATAAGGTGTACCAAAAACGGCGGCGCTCCGCGCCGCCGTTTTTGAGATATTCGCGAAAAACCACAAGGGGGGGTGTTCAAACACCCCCCCCCCAGCAGGGCGCGGGCTAGGGAAAGCGCTATAACACCGAGTAAAACGCATTTTGTCGAAAATCAGCGATAGGGCGTCAGTTGTCTAGTACATATGTTGCTATTAGAGGTCACTGGTCATACCAGGTCAGGTCACAGGTCAGGTCACCAAAGGTCACCACATGAACCCAACTTTACTAAGGTTGTGCGATGCATGTTTTATGGCCAGTTTCTCATTTCCAACTCAATGATGTTGGTTATAAGACCATCAGGTACGGTTTAGGTCACTTTCTGATGGAGGTCAGGTCAAGGTCAAGTCAAAAAGGTCAAATTTCAAAGTTGATATTTTTGCATAAAATGGGTATTGATTCGATGCAGCTCGTCACGGGGAGTGTAATGGTGGTCTTTGTTTTGCGCTACGAGGTCTAGAATTGCTAAAAATTGAGTTTCAAAATTTGACGTCATCAATTTTGAACAGTTTTTTTCGCTATAACTTGGCCAAAAAAAAAAAGAGGAATCGATTGCAAATTTGGTATTTAGATAGAAGACGGTAGGGACTATCACATATATTCCGTTTTTTCAAAATTCAAAAAACTTTTTGGATTTTTCGGCTATCATATTCAAAAAATTTATTTTTTGATTTTTGGGGTCAAAATCCAAAAATTTCAAAAATCTGAGATAGCAGTTTTGTAGCCCTCTAAATTGTACACCTTTTATGTCAAAAACATTTTTCTGTGTCTCTAAAGCTGTAGGCCTGACAGCTCTTCTCGCGAAGCCTTTTTTGGTTCGAAAATGGCAGAAATGACGTCACTCTGACGTCATTAGCGTCCAACCTATCATAGCATTTGGAAAATTTTTGGTCACAATGTGCAATAGCTATTCACGGGAGGGTACTGAAAGTTTGGTGACGATCGGCGCAGCGGTTCTCGAGATATATCGAAAAAAACTAAAGTGGGGGGGCAAAAAATGCCCCCCCCCATTAGCCTGGAAGGTTAAGTACGAGGGTTAAGGCAACGCTTTCTTCTCCGTCACCGGTCGGTTCTCTGTCACGATTGAACCGGTCGTTTAAACCTAGCAGTTTCGTTAAACGATATGAAGGTGGATTAGTTCCAATACGGTGCGTCCACGGTCGTCTGAAGCACCGGAGGTGTGAAATAATGCCGCACGTGGTGCACACTGCCTCTCCGTCACCCGGCGGTGCTGCCGGATTTAGTTGTTTGCACTAGGGTCGGTGTGCACTCAGCAGTTGATTTCCGGCGCCGGCTATAAGCGGCTGGTCACGTCGTGGTGTGGTGTGGGCATACAGACGAGGCGGGGATCTATGTCCACATCCGGTACCAGTCATCACATTCACCCAGGTGTCAATGGCTTCTGACCCCAGCCGGGTGCCGATCACCGACGGCCGACCGCCCCCGGAATCGGCCGTGCCAGGCGCCTCCGCACGAGAGGCGCCGGGCTATGGGCTTAGGGAGATCCGACTTTGTGGGAGCTCGTTGCAGCGTTTGTAGCTGAAAGGAATGCTGAGTAGCGATACTCTGTCGCGCTGTGGAAACCCTGCAATCCTTGACCCAAAAGTGTTGTGGTGGATTAGATCGTCATCTGCCGTGAGCCGTTTCTGATGTTTTGATTTTCCTGTTCTCAGGGGTCTGGTCAAGAAGTACATGCCAAAGAAGAAGGACGAGGAGGACGGACAGTAAGTACCGCTGCCAATTAATCGGGCTGTGGCTCACTCCTTCCCCTTGGAGTGGCCGTCCCTCAGTCCGTCTGGTCTGTCCGTGTAGCCGTCCCTCCGGCTGGTCTGTCGATACCGGGGAGGGGGATGACACGCCGCCCCTCTCCACACCTACCGCGCCCCTCCGCCGCCGTCTGATCGGCCGCCGCCGCCGCCCGGCTGTGCCGGTAAACCGCCGCCCGCCCGCTGCCTTTGTGACGCCGGTGATGCAGCGTTTCGCAACCTTGGCCGGGTCGTGCGCTGCTCGCGATCCGCGGAAACGCCGCAGCCCGGCAGCCGGCGCGCGGGCGGCGGGGTGCCGAGAGCAGGCCGGGCCGGGCCGCGGGAGCCGCCGCGGCAGTCGGCACCGTTAGCGGCCGGCTGGCAGGGGCGGAGCGGCGGGGAGCCGCCGCCCCGTGTCACCCCGGCGCGCTGCCGGTCCGGCCGCCGCGGCGACTGCTAACCGGTCAGGTGCACCCACCGCCGGCGGCTGTCAGATGCGCCCCGCCGACCGCCGGCGGCCGTCAGATGCGCCGCGCCTACCGCCTCCGGCCGTCAGATGCGCCGCGCCTACCGCCTCCGGCGTGAGGACGCGCTCGGCGGCTCCGCTCTCACTTTCAGCGGACGGTGGGGGCGGACGGCGGTGGGCGGGGCCGGCTGGGCGGTATCACGGGGCCGTCCGGCCCGCCCCGCCCGGCCAGTTATCGCGGGGACCGGAGAGTGTCGCTGGTGACCTCCGGCCGGCGACATTGGTCGGTGGCAGCGGCTCCAGCCGACCGGACAGCGGCTCCAGCCGACCGGAGTTTCGGAGATCGGCACGGTCGGGCGGCGGATTGGCGGCCATCCAGCCAGCTCCTCGTTTGCTACAATGGGGGTGGACTGTGGTGTGATGTAACCTGAGCGTCATCTGCTGCTCCACATTTCATGACCGCCTCATGGGTCATAAACTTGGTGAGCTAGGCACTATGAACTAAAACTAAGTCAAGGTCTCGCGCTCGTCCAAAGTTGTTTTGAAATTATCTCGAACTTGTTTGTGGTCAGGCCCGAACAGAGGTGGTCGAAAATGTTCTTCTCTTCTATTTGAGCTCCGGTCGGTCGCTCGGCTGTCAGAGGCCGGTGGTCGGTGGTCACTGGACCTTCCCGCGGGGTCGGGAGCCAGGCCGGGCCCGGACCCGGGTCGGTGGACGGTGGTCACTGTACCCTCCCGCGGGGTGGGAAGTCGGACCGGGCCCGGCAGACGGCCGGTGGTCGGTGGTCCCACAGCCGACGCGCCGCGCTGACACAGCGCCTGTGACACACCGCACCGGAACAGTCGCTGACGAGGCGTCCTGGCCCGTGAGTGGGCGGGCTCTGCGGCGGTCCCGGGCCGGCTCATCCTGTCCGGGAGACCGGCCCGCCCCTGACACTGACCGTCCTTGTCCTATAGTCCTTCCGGCCACATTCTACTGTAGCCTATCGTCCCGCGCCGCCCTGCCGTCCCCGCTGACAGAACTGAGCCCGTGTCAGTGTGCGGCGATACGACACTAGCCGCACCGGCGCCACCTGATAGTATTCCCCCCACCCCCCGCCCCCTCCCCCGTCCGACACAAGGGTGCCACAGGACGGCGATAATCCGACCAACAACAAAAATACCCTCGGTGCAAGTAAAGCAGCACAGTGCCTTCCACCCAAGGCAAACTTGTCAAGTAGACAAATAATGCGAGGAGTCTAGGACGGGTCGGAGTTTTCCCATATCCGGGGGCGCGGTGATCGACATGGGTCTGTAGTGGCATGACTCAAATGTGTGTCGCCGATGTCCCAGTCGGCTGGACTCCGCCCTGGCCGCCAGCTCAGCGCTCTCGCTCCATGTCGGGCACAGACCGGGCAGTCGGTACAGACTAGTGATGTCAATTACGGAAAATCGGAATACCGATACCAAACCAAATACCAACCAAAACCACGGGGAAATACCGAAACCAAACCAACTTGGGAAAATGAGGGAAATACCAACTTTTTACCGATTTCTTAGCCTCTTATACATTAGTGAGGGTTTATGATACCGACAAAATACCAAACACATTACGATTGAAATACCAAATACCAAGTTGGTATCGGTTTGGTATCGGTATACCAAAATGTTGGTATCCGATTGACATCTCTAGTACAGACCGTCAGCGGTGTCTGTTCATACGCAATGACTCACGGTCACCGGCGCCCAGCCGTCACCGCGCCCCGGCCCCGGCGGCACTGTAAACGGAGCGCCCACCTCCGGCGCAGCGGCAGCGGAGGTGGCACAGGGGATCGTGGCGTGGATGTCGGAAGTCGGTGTCCCGCTTCAGCTCAGCCCAGACCCCAGGTACTGGACTACTCCCCAGTACCCCCGGCTACTCCCCAGTAGCCGTGCGCTCGGTCCCGGCTGTATGTTGGGCTAACGCGCTGTGTCGACTGGGGAGGCGTGACCTGGCTCCCCAAGATTTACCGCTAGTGCCTAGTATGCACTTGAAAGGACCGCGGCGCTGAGCGTATAGTCATTTTGTATGGCTCGCGACTGGTTGATTATCACCCTAGCTGTGGTCCCTGGGTCAGTGAGTCCCAGTGGATCCCGACGATCGGCAGCGGGCCCCGGGTGACTGTCGCGTCGCCAGGTGACTGTCGCAGGTTAGTCGTCACCGGTAGCAGGCACAGTATAACCGTCACCGGTGGCGGGCCCCGGGTGACTGTCGTCGGTGGCGGGCCCCGGGTGACTGTTGCCGGCGGAGTGGGGCTGGCGCGGCGGGCTCACCTCCGTCCGCCGGCGGTGATTTAAATCCTCCGTCCGACCGGTCTCAGCCCGGGGCCGTCCCGTCGTCTCAGCCCGGCCAGCTCGGGTTGTGAGGCACGCCACCGTGCCGCAGCAGGACAGGCCCACGCGCCGGATCACCCTACTACGGCCAGGTCGAGGACTGTAGTGTCCGATTGTGTGTGTGGGCGGGGGTGTCGGAGGCCCTGCGGACAGGGACAGTGGCCGCCGGCCGGCCGGCCCGCACGGCTGGGCGGTGACGACGGACACCGGAGTGCCGCGGGCGGCCGGCTGGCTGCAGGTAACCGCTCCCACCGTGTCGCGCCGCCGGCTGAAGACGCCTCCCCCAGGGGCGGGATCCCGGACCACTGCACTGTGGATGCCCTCAGCGGCCGGCGCATTGCACAATACCGTACCGCGCTGTACCGCATCCTATCGTACCATACTGTAACTGCCGTGGTGTACCGTAGCGGGTGACGATTATGTCCTGGTAGGTACAGGTCACCACCCTTTCCGTTCATATCACGGGCGGTACATATCATGTACCGCCCGTGTTCATATTGCTATCCGGTATAGGCCACGGCCGCGGAGGATCGAATGGTATACGTAGATTGTAGACTAGAGGCACCGACCGTCCAGTGCAGGCATAGGTCACGGACCGAGCGATACTGCACCATCGGCCGTCCGGGGCACGGGCCGAGCGATACTAAACCACTGCACCGGCCGTCCGGGCCACGGACCGAGCGATAGTAAACCACCGGCCGGCCGGTGCAGGCATAGACCACGGGCCGGCCGGGACTGAGCCGCCGGCCGCTGCCCACCGCGCCGGCCCGAAAAAAGCCGACTGGTCACACGGGTACGGAAACGCTGGTGAGCCGGCGGTGGCAGTGCCTTCCGAGGAGGGCCGGTAGCCGCGGCGCTGGCCACGGCGCGGCTGCGGGCGGCCGGTCCGCCGCCCAGCCGCCCGGCCCCGGTGGCGCCCGGTGTCCGGTCGGCCGCCGGCCTGCCGGGATCAGCCGGGAGTCGGTGGCTGCGCACCGTGCACCCTGCACTGTGCAGGTGGACAGCCTGACCCGGCGGTACGGCTTCACCGTGCAACGAGCGGGGCGGGGCTGAGTGCCGGTCTCCGGAGACCCCTGGCCGGGCGGCGGGCCGGGGTGCCATACTGGGCTAGGCCACGGCGCCTTCCGGAACGGACTACGGCGCCTCAGTGGGCGGGCCGCGGCCGTGGCCGAGTCTATGAGAGCGAGTAGCGCGCGGGCCGACCCTGATCGCCGGCACCGTTAGCTGCCGCCGAGCCGCGCTGGACGCTGGACGCTGCCGCCGCGGTCGGCTGAAGCCCGGACGCTGGTCAGGCCGCCGCCGCTCTGCTACATGTCTTCCGCGAATGTAGATCATCAAATGGCATCCAGAACAGAACGCGGAAGATCGGAGCTGCCGCGTTCTGACGCCTTTTACTGGGCTATCGATCATTGCTAACGCGCCTGTCAACAATGTTCCGTTGATAGTAGGTATGACACTTCCTTTAGTGTCTGCTGATTATAGATTGGGTATCTTGTCGTGTGTCACTCGCAGTCATTTTCCGCCGGGCCGAGGTGCTGCAGGACCGACTGGGTATTGTTTGTTGTGCCGGGCCGAGGTGCTGCGACCGACTGGGTATTGTTGGTTGTGCCGGGCCGAGGTGCTGGGACCGACTGGATATTGTTTGTTGTGGCGGTGCCGTCCACGTCAGCATAGGTCCGCCGGGCGGTCAGCAGAGGTGGTCCGTCAGCGCCGCCCTCTAGCCAGTCTCTATCAGAGGAGGTGGTCCGTCAGCGCCGCTGGTCGGTCAGCAGAGGTGGCCCGTCAGCGCGGTCCGCCAGCAGAGGTGGCCTGTCAGCGCGGTCCGCCGGCCGACCGGTCAGCAGAGGTGGCCTGCGCCCGCTCCGGACCCGTGTCGCGCGGTGTAGATTCGACACCCATTGTCTCCCGGTATGGTCCGGCGCACCTTCCCCTCACCGCCGGAGGGCTCAGCGCCGCGGAAGGAAAACGGTTCGGAGCGGGCCGCTGAGGGGGGCCACCGCCGCCGGTCGGCCGCCGGGGGACCGCTGCCGCCCAGTCAGCCGAGCCGACCCCAGCGGGCCGCCGCCGGTGTTTATATTGATGTCTCTCGAGCGCGCACGGTAATGGGACAATGATTGGACGGCGCCTTCCACCGGCGCGGGCCGATGAGCTCCGTCAGGAACATTAGACTGAAACACCTCGCCACATCACATCGGTGTAAGAGTGAGAATGTTTGCCACAACAGGTATTGGTAGTATTGCCTGGGGACACCACCTGCTCGGGTTGCGGGGATACCGCTTTGGTGACCGGTCGCCCACTGGTCCGGTGACCGGTCACATATTGGTGTTGTGCCCGGTCTTACACCGGCCTGGGGACCGGTCACACGCTGGTTTGGTCCGTTATGCTGTAATCTTTACGGTGTTGGCCTATGGTATCGATTGTTAGACCGTGCTGTGCTGCGCCGGCCTGTGATACCCTTTGCTTATCTTTGGTGGCCTGTTGTGTTGTGCGCTGACGTTTGGTGACCTCCAGTTTCTGGTGACCTGTGCCCACCTTTAGTGACCTGCCATGACCTATACCTCCCTGGGCCGACCTGCGTCGGTCGGTACTGCTGTACGCTGACCTCTGCTGACGTTTGTTGACCTACTGTGACCGGTGTTGGCGCGGCAGGTTCTCGGTACAGTCGGCCTACCGGCGGCTGCTCGCCGAGGTGGGAGACCTGGCCGGACAGCACGAGGTGGTGGCCGAACAGCTGGCAGACAGCGTAGCCGCCGACATCAGCGCCGAGGTCAAGACACTCAAGGAGGAGCGCAAACGGGTCAGTCAGTCGGTGGGGGACAGAGGGGGGGTCGCCAGCGGCAGAGCACTGTCACCGCCCGCCGCACACCGAGGGCAGACAGGCACCGAGGCTCCGACAGGAGACTTTAGTACACAGACACGGACAGTCGGTGTCCCCGACAGGAGACTTTAGTACACAGACACGGACAGTCGGTGTCCCCGACAGACAGTCACCGAGGCTGCGACAGGAGACTTTAGTACACAGACACGGACAGTCGGTGTCCCCGACAGACAGTCACCGAGGCTGCGACAGGAGACTTTAGTACACAGACACGGACAGTCGGTGTCCCCGACAGACAGTCACCGAGGCTGCGACAGGAGACATTAGTACACAGACACGGACAGTCGGTGTTCCCGACAGACAGTCACCGAGGCTGCGACAGGAGACATTAGTACACAGACACGGACAGTCGGTGTCCCTGGCAGACAGCAGACATGTCCGTCCCCTTCCCTGGCTGACTCGTTCTGTCGCCGGTCTGCCTGTGATGTGTGCTCTGTCGGCGCTGCCGCCGCCGGCTGCTGGCAGACAGACGATGTGGAGCGGCCCGGCGGCCGGCCGGGTGACCGCAGTCTCGGCGGCGGCGACCGGAGGTCGACGGTGCTGCAACGGGTCGAGCCCTCCGACCCGGCTGGCACACCGCACCGCGGCCGGCGCCCCTCTGCTCCGTCCGTCACTCTCCCGCCCCGCTCTCTAACCAGCCAGCGAGCGGCGACAGACAGACAGACAGACAGACAGACAGACAGACAGACAGACAGACAGACAGACAGACAGACAGACAGACAGACAGACAGACAGACAGACAGACAGACAGACAGACAGACAGACAGACAGACAGACAGACAGACAGACAGGACAGGACAGGACAGGACAGGACAGGACAGGACAGGACAGGACAGGACAGGACAGGACAGGACAGGACAGGACAGGACAGGACAGGACAGGACAGGACAGGACAGGACAGGACAGGACAGGACAGGACAGGACAGGACAGGACAGGACAGGGCAGGACAGGACAGGACAGGACAGGACAGGACAGGACGGACGGACGGACGGGCAGTCAGACTGGCAGACTAGCAGACTGGCAGACTGGCAGACGCAGACACTAGACAGGCAGGCAGACGCAGGCAGGCAGACTGGCAGACTGGCAGACGCAGACACTAGACAGGCAGGCAGACGCAGGCAGGCAGACAGACACAGGGCGACACAGGCCGACACAGGCAGACAGACAGACAGACGGCTCTGATCTGGTCTGCTGTGCCGTATCCTGGTTTATCATAACATTTAGTGTTTGTACCTGTCCCACCTTGCAGTATTTCTTATCATTTTCTTGTAATTGGTTGTTTAGCGCGTTTTTCGCTGCATTTGGCGTTGACTGGCACTGGCGGATTCTGTACCGATCTCGTCAGATGTCCACTGTCAAATGTCATCACCGTGTGTCCCCGTATTGCCCTGCGCCCTGACTGGCCGACTGTTCAGCCAGCCTGTGTTGACCTGTTGTCCCTGTCCGCCCGGCGATATGTCTCGCTCTGTCCAGTGGTGGTCCCTCTCAGCCCCGTGCTGTCCTGTGGTGCGGTGTCTAACTGTGTTCTGTACTGTGCTGTCCTGTGGTGCGGTGTCTAACTGTGTTCTGTACTGTGCTGTCCTGTGGTGCGGTGTCTAACTGTGTTCTGTACTGTGTTGTCCTGTGGTGCGGTGTCTAACTGTGTTCTGTGCTGTGAGAGTGTCTCCCGTGCTGTCCTGTGAGCGGTGTCTAACTGTATGTTCTGTACTGTGAGAGTGTCTCCCGTGCTGTCCTGTGGTGCGGTGTCTAACTGTGTTCTGTACTGTGCTGTCCTGTGGTGCGGTGTCTAACTGTGTTCTGTACTGTGCTGTCCTGTGGTGCGGTGTCTAACTGTGTTCTGTACTGTGCTGTCCTGTGGTGCGGTGTCTAACTGTGTTCTGTACTGTGCTGTCCTGTGGTGCGGTGTCTAACTGTGTTCTGTACTGTGTTGTCCTGTGGTGCGGTGTCTAACTGTGTTCTGTGCTGTGAGAGTGTCTCCCGTGCTGTCCTGTGAGCGGTGTCTAACTGTATGTTCTGTACTGTGAGAGTGTCTCCCGTGCTGTCCTGTGGTGCGGTGTCTAACTGTGTTCTGTACTGTGCTGTCCTGTGGTGCGGTGTCTAACTGTGTTCTGTACTGTGTTGTCCTGTGGTGCGGTGTCTAACTGTGTTCTGTGCTGTGAGAGTGTCTCCCGTGCTGTCCTGTGAGCGGTGTCTAACTGTATGTTCTGTACTGTGAGAGTGTCTCCCGTGCTGTCCTGTGGTGCGGTGTCTAACTGTGTTCTGTACTGTGCTGTCCTGTGGTGCGGTGTCTAACTGTGTTCTGTACTGTGCTGTCCTGTGGTGCGGTGTCTAACTGTGTTCTGTACTGTGCTGTCCTGTGGTGCGGTGTCTAACTGTGTTCTGTACTGTGCTGTCCTGTGGTGCGGTGTCTAACTGTGTTCTGTACTGTGCTGTCCTGTGGTGCGGTGTCTAACTGTGTTCTGTACTGTGCTGTCCTGTGGTGCGGTGTCTAACTGTGTTCTGTACTGTGCTGTCCTGTGGTGCGGTGTCTAACTGTGTTCTGTACTGTGCTGTCCTGTGACGCGGTGTCTAACTGTGTTCTGTACTGTGCTGTCCTGTGGTGCGGTGTCTAACTGTGTTCTGTACTGTGCTGTCCTGTGGTGCGGTGTCTAACTGTGTTCTGTACTGTGCTGTCCTGTGGTGCGGTGTCTAACTGTGTTCTGTACTGTGCTGTCCTGTGGTGCGGTGTCTAACTGTGTTCTGTACTGTGCTGTCCTGTGGTGCGGTGTCTAACTGTGTTCTGTACTGTGCTGTCCTGTGACGCGGTGTCTAACTGTGTTCTGTACTGTGCTGTCCTGTGGTGCGGTGTCTAACTGTGTTCTGTACTGTGCTGTCCTGTGGTGCGGTGTCTAACTGTGTTCTGTACTGTGCTGTCCTGTGGTGCGGTGTCTAACTGTGTTCTGTACTGTGCTGTCCTGTGGTGCGGTGTCTAACTGTGTTCTGTACTGTGCTGTCCTGTGGTGCGGTGTCTAACTGTGTTCTGTACTGTGCTGTCCTGTGGTGCGGTGTCTAACTGTGTTCTGTACTGTGCTGTCCTGTGGTGCGGTGTCTAACTGTGTTCTGTACTGTGCTGTCCTGTGGTGCGGTGTCTAACTGTGTTCTGTACTGTGCTGTCCTGTGGTGCGGTGTCTAACTGTGTTCTGTACTGTGCTGTCCTGTGGTGCGGTGTCTAACTGTGTTCTGTACTGTGCTGTCCTGTGGTGCGGTGTCTAACTGTGTTCTGTACTGTGCTGTCCTGTGACGCGGTGTCTAACTGTGTTCTGTACTGTGCTGTCCTGTGGTGCGGTGTCTAACTGTGTTCTGTACTGTGCTGTCCTGTGGTGCGGTGTCTAACTGTGTTCTGTACTGTGCTGTCCTGTGGTGCGGTGTCTAACTGTGTTCTGTACTGTGCTGTCCTGTGGTGCGGTGTCTAACTGTGTTCTGTACTGTGCTGTCCTGTGGTGCGGTGTCTAACTGTGTTCTGTACTGTGCTGTCCTGTGACGCGGTGTCTAACTGTGTTCTGTACTGTGCTGTCCTGTGGTGCGGTGTCTAACTGTGTTCTGTACTGTGCTGTCCTGTGGTGCGGTGTCTAACTGTGTTCTGTACTGTGCTGTCCTGTGGTGCGGTGTCTAACTGTGTTCTGTACTGTGCTGTCCTGTGACGCGGTGTCTAACTGTGTTCTGTACTGTGCTGTCCTGTGACGCGGTGTCTAACTGTGTTCTGTACTGTGCTGTCCTGTGACGCGGTGTCTAACTGTGTTCTGTACTGTGCTGTCCTGTGACGCGGTGTCTAACTGTGTTCTGTACTGTGCTGTCCTGTGACGCGGTGTCTAACTGTGTTCTGTACTGTGCTGTCCTGTGACGCGGTGTCTAACTGTGTTCTGTACTGTGCTGTCCTGTGACGCGGTGTCTAACTGTGTTCTGTACTGTGCTGTCCTGTGACGCGGTGTCTAACTGTGTTCTGTACTGTGCTGTCCTGTGACGCGGTGTCTAACTGTGTTCTGTACTGTGCTGTCCTGTGACGCGGTGTCTAACTGTGTTCTGTACTGTGCTGTCCTGTGACGCGGTGTCTAACTGTGTTCTGTACTGTGCTGTCCTGTGACGCGGTGTCTAACTGTGTTCTGTACTGTGCTGTCCTGTGGTGCGGTGTCTAACTGTGTTCTGTACTGTGCTGTCCTGTGGTGCGGTGTCTAACTGTGTTCTGTACTGTGCTGTCCTGTGGTGCGGTGTCTAACTGTGTTCTGTACTGTGCTGTCCTGTGGTGCGGTGTCTAACTGTGTTCTGTACTGTGCTGTCCTGTGACGCGGTGTCTAACTGTGTTCTGTACTGTGCTGTCCTGTGACGCGGTGTCTAACTGTGTTCTGTACTGTGCTGTCCTGTGACGCGGTGTCTAACTGTGTTCTGTACTGTGCTGTCCTGTGGTGCGGTGTCTAACTGTGTTCTGTACTGTGCTGTCCTGTGAGCGGGTGTCTAACTGTGTTCTGTGCTGTGAGAGTGTGTATTTATGTGCCGGTCGTCCCGTGTTGTCCTGTGACCGGGTGTGTGACTGTGAGCTCTGTACTGTGGGACTGTATGTGCCCAGTCGTCCTGTGTCGGCCTGTGACTGTGAGCTCTGTACTGTGAGACTGTCTCTATGTGCCGGTCGTCCTGTGTCGGCCTGTGACTGTGAGCTCTTTACTGTGAGACTGTCTGAATGGTTGTCCCGTGTTGTCCTGTGACCGGGTGTGTGACTGTGAGCTCTGTACTGTGCCAGTCGTCCTGTGTTGCCCTGTGACCGGTCTGTAACTGTATGTTCTGTTCCCGACCCACCAGATGCTGCAGGAGGGTAACCGGCTGGTGGTGCAGCTGCAGGCACAGCGGCTCCAGCTCGACAAGTCCAAAAAGAACTACGAAAAGGCCTTCCGCGAGGCGGAAAAGGTACTGAATAGGAGGGAGGAGGAGGATACTTAATGAGAGCGAGGGAGGAAGAGGGAGGATACTGAACGGGAGGGAGGGAGAGGGAGGAGGAGGAAAGGCGGAAAGGTAGTTACGGTACGGGAGGGAGGGACAGGGAGGGAGACTAGCGGCCGACTGATGCACGATAGACCGTGTCAGCCGGCCGGGCCGATGGAATTGCATCCGTCTCGTCTCTGATAAAATTGCCTAGGAATGTGATGCCGGTCGAGTTATTTCGGTGATGGCCTATTGCGCTAATCAATAGCTAATGTCTTACAGGGTCATTGACTTGGGCCAACTTAGCGCCACTATGTCCCTCTTTCGATCCAACATTTTCGTCAAACACAGAGGTAGTGGCTGTGCGTCAGTATCCCTGCGTTCCGATCCACTCTTTGTCGTATCCGCCAGTCCCTTTGCTGGTGTGCTTTTTGTTCATCTATCGCCCCAGTGACCTTTGTGCCCCCTTCCATCTGCTCTGACCGGTCTGCCGTCCGAGCGGCGTTGCTTAACCACCGGTGGGTGCCCCCTCCCCCTCCCGGAACCGCCCGGGGGTGGTGACTCCCCCCGGCTCGCGGTCGGCTGGCCCGGACTGGTGGTCAGTGCCCCAGTCCCAGCGCCCAGTATTGCAATGCTCTGTGTGCCCGTCCCGGTCTGTGGCCGTCCGGCTAATCGGCGCTACATCCGGCGCGGCGTGACGCCACAGTCGGCCGGCGCCGCCAGCACGTGCCACTGCGACACCCTCCCCTCCTCTCCTCCCCCTCCTCTCTCCTCTCCCCTCCTCCCTCCTCTCCCCTGTCCTCTCGGCCGCCGCCGCCCCCGGCCGGCCCCCGGCCCCCGCTACCGCCCGGGCCCCGCCTCTGACGGGGCAGCGGCCGGCGCGGTGGCAGCGATGATGTCTGGCCGACATACGCTGCTGCGTGAGAGCGCAGACCGTGATCCCGAACAGTCGATGGACCGGGTACGGTGTGGTCAGTAGGCGGGCTCGGTGTGGACGGGACACAGCGTGCCCGTAGTGTGCAGTCGCAGCCCGCCGGCCGGTCGGCCCGAGTCGGCGGGCCGCTGCCGTGTGCCGATGACGCGGCCGACCACGCTGCAGCCAAGGCCGCCGGCCCGGCCCGGTCCGGCGCGGCGCGGTCGACTTTCCTGGCCGCGCCGCGCCTCCCCGCCGGCCGGTCTGCCGCCGGTCCGCCGGCCTATCCGCTCCGTGCTGTGCGCGCCGCCCCGGCACGGCACACGAGCGACCGGCCGCGGCGGCGGCGCTCCCGTTTTTGCGCCGTGTTTATGAGAATTGAATGATGACCTGCTCTGTACGGCCGGCCGCCGACCGGCGCCCCTCCCCCCCCCCCTCGGTGGGGCACGAGACGCCGTTTTCCGGCTGCACTTGGGTCCTGTGTTTGCTGCATTGCAGATTTTCCTCCCAGTCAACTGAGTGTGCAGCCCGGTAAAAATAGCCTTGATCTAGCGGCGTATGATGGGGCTGGCGGCGTCGGGGCCCGCCAGCCGCCGCGCGGCCGATCGGGGGCGGGTGGGGGTGGGGGGGAGGCCGTTCCGGTGCGGACTGCCGGCACTCGGCACCAACCCGCCGCAGCCCGTCTCTGCTCTCCTCTGCTGCCCGTCACCCGCCGTCCGCGGCTTTGTTTTGCCGTGCTCGGTCGGCCGGCCGTGCTGCGATCGGTCGGAGGACGCGGCCAGTCAGTCGGGGTCGAACTGACGTCACTCGTAGCGGCGCGCCGACGACGACCGGCGGTTTTGTGCACGGCCTCTCGTAAAAACAGCGCCGGCCCGATCTGGAGCGGTCGCTGGCTGAGCGCGCCCTGCCTTTTTGCGGCAGAACTGCGCGGCGCCGGCTGGCGATGGCTCCGAGTCAGGACTTTCCTCTGTCCTGGTCAGGCCGCTCAGTTCCTCTGCCAGTCGGAGACTGCTGAATGCCGCTGCTTGTTAGAGGCCGCTGAAACCCTCCGCTAGTCAGAGGGCTGCCCGTACCCGCCGCTAGTCAGAGGTGGCTGGAGCCCTCCGCTAGTCAGAGGCTGCTCGAACCATCCGCTAGTCAGAGGTGACTGGAACCCTCCGCTAGTCAGAGGTGGCTGGAACCCTCCGCTAGTCAGAGGCAGCTGGAGCCCTCCGCCAGTCAGAGGTGGCTCGAACCCTCCGCCGTAACGGTGTCACATCTCATTTCCTTGCCCGGTATTGTTGGTTCAATAATGCTCGAACTCGTCCCCGATGGACCGATTTCGTTCCCCGTGCCCCCTGACCCGGCCCTATTCTGCTCCCTGTCCCCTGTTGTAATCGCTATTTCTGCCCTCTAACCCTGCCCCCATCTGTATCTATGCCCTATGAACCTGCCTCCCACCACTGCCTTGACTTTGCCACTGTGCCGGTCCCCTGGTCTGTCGTCCCCTTTGACCCTGACCCTGAGGCTGTCCCTGAGACCGCTCCCGAGCCTGTAGGCTACCCTCTGTCGGCCTGTCTCGCCCTGACCCTCTGTCGGCCTGTCGACCTGACCCGATGTCAGTGTCGGTCTGCCCCGCTCTGACCCGGTGTCAGTGTCGGCCCTGACCCGGGGTGTCAGTGTCGGCCTGCCCCGCCCTGACCCGGTGTCAGTGTCTGCCCTGACCCAGTGTCAGTGTCGGCCTGCCCCGCCGTGACCCGGGGTGTCAGTGTCGGCCCTGACCCGGTGTCAGTGTCGGCCTGCCCCGCCCTGACCGGTGTCAGTGCCGGCCCTGAGTGACCTGACCCGGTGTCAGGGTCGGCCTGCCCCGCCCTGACCCGGTGTCAGTGTCCCGCCCTGACCTGGTGTCAGTGTCGGTCTGCTCCGCCCTGACCCGGTGTCAATGTCGGCCTGCCCCGCCCTGACCCGGTGTCAGTGTCGTTCTGCCCCGCCCTGACCCGGTATCTCTGTCGGCGGCAGGCGCAGGAAGCGTTCCGGCGGGCCGACGCTGACCTCAACCTGAGCCGGGCCGAGGTCGAGAAACAGAAAATGGCCGCTAGCATCAAGGGTCAGCAGAGCGAGGACTGCAAGAACGAGTACGCCAACCAGCTGCAGCGCACCAACGACCTGCAGGTGCGTGACGGTGGGGTCACACAGCGACACACGAGGTCACACGGGGTCACACAGCGCACCAACGACCTGCAGGTGCGTGACGGTGGGGTCACACAGCGACACACTGGGTCACACAGCGACACACGGGGTTACACAGCGACACACTGGGTCACACAGGGTCACACAGTGACACACGAGGTCACACAGCGACACACGGGGTCACACAGCGACACACGGGGTCACACGGGGTCACACGAGGTCACACAGCGACACACGAGGTCACACAGGGTCACACAGCGACACACGAGGTCACACAGCGACACACGGGGTCACACAGGGTCACACAGCGACACACGAGGTCACACAGCGACACACGGGGTCACACAGGGTCACACAGGGACCTGCGGGGTCACATAGCGACACACAGGGACCTGCGGGGCCTCGATGGAACGTTAAGGTGACGCGGGATCTCCGGGGCCCCGCAGGGACATGTAGAGTAGAGTCACACTGGGCCACACCGAGGCGCCCCTCCCCGTCTGTAGGTCAGTGTTATGTACGTTATCGGTGCGGCGTGGTGCGGTCGGCGCCCACGAGCGGGTCGGCGGGCCGGCCGCTGCCTGGCCGCCCCGGGTCGGGCCGGGCAGCTGACTCACGTCCGGCCCGCCCGGTCCGGCGCCTCGGCCCGCCGCGGAGCCGGGCACTCGGTGGTAGGACCGCCGGCCTGCTCCGCCTCCGTCTGTAGCGGGCCGACCGCGGTCAGGCACATGCTATGCTATCCAACCCAATCGCAGCGTTCGCTAATTTGATAGGGAATGTATTAACTATTACGGTAAGCGTAGTAAGTAGGTGCTTAGTTGCTGAGCGTTTTATTTGATATCTAAGAAGAAGCTTTGATGGCACATTGTTGTGACCTGCTGGCTCCCACAATATTCAGCCTGGGACGTTCTCAGTTCCTGCCACATCGGACTGACTGTGGCCGTCCTCCGCGGGCAGTGTCCCAGGACGGTTTCAGTGTCCCCCCACCTCAGACTGACTGTGACCGTTGCTCGGCCGGCAGCACCTGCACTACACGAGCGCCATGCCGGCGCTGTTCGGCGAACTGCAGGCGCTGGACGAGCGGCGCGCGCGCTGTATGCAGGCGCACATGCGACGCGCCGTGGACATCGAGCGCCACGTGTTCCCCATCGTCCACACGTGTCTGGACGGCATAGTGGCCGCCGCCGACGAGATCGACCCCGACCGGGTGAGCGAGGGGGGCACGTGCCGCCGGGACACGGGGCGGCGACAGGTGCGGGGGGGGGGCGGCCGGCCAGCAGCGCCGGGACGGGGAGCCGCGGGTGGACGGATCACGACTAACGAGCAGCCTCTCGGAATGGGGAGTGTGGAGAGGAACGTGACTGCTAGTGCTGACTGATGGGTCTAGGTTTGGGTGTGACTTTCCAATTAATGTTCCCCGTAGGGTGTACGAACTTTTTATCGAAATCTGGTCTGTAGCATACTTACAAGAAATTCAATTGACCTGACCTGCCCCGTGCGTACAGGACTCTCAGCTGGTGATCGAGCGGTACAAGTCTGGGCTCGAGTCTGACCTGACCTGACCTGACCCGTGTACACAGGACTCTCAGCTGGTGATCGAGCAGTACAAGTCTGGGCTCGAGTCTGACCTGACCTGACCTGACCTGACCTGCCCCGTGTGTACAGGACTCTCAGCTGGTGATCGAGCGGTACAAGTCCGGGTTCGAGTCTGACCTGACCTGACCTGACCCGTGCGTACAGGACTCTCAGCTGGTGATCGAGCGGTACAAGTCCGGGTTCGAGTCTGACCTGACCTGACCCGTGCGTACAGGACTCTCAGCTGGTGATCGAGCGGTACAAGTCCGGGTTCGAGTCTGACCTGACCTGACCCGTGCGTACAGGACTCTCAGCTGGTGATCGAGCGGTACAAGTCCGGGTTCGAGCCGCCGGAGCCGATACCGTTCGAGGACCTGTCGGACGGCGGACGGCCGCCCGAGCCGCCGCTGGGCCAGCTGCCGCCGCCGCCGGCCAGCTCGCCCAAACCGCACACCGTCAAAGGCACCCTGTCGGCCAGAAAGTTCGGCAAGCGCGGCGGCATCTTCGGCATCTTCGGCGGCAGCAAGGTCGGTCCTCTGGTCTGGCGGGAGAGGAGAGGGGAGGGGAGGGTAAGGTGGTCTGGTGTGACGGGGAGGGGGAGGTCGGTGGTGTCTGGCGGGACGCGGTGCCGACGGGGAGCACGGCTGGGGGGGAGGGGCTCGGGTGGGTGCCGGTAGAGCTAGTCTGTAGAGCATGGTAGTGCGCAGAGCGCGGACGGTGCCCGGCTGGAAGTGGTCCCTGGCGGGCTGCTGGTGGCCGCGGCTCGGGAGCAGACAGAGAGTGAGTGCGCCTCCCGTGCCGCGCCGGTACGTCTGTTGGCCGTGCTGGGGCGGGCGGCCGCTACCGGCTCTTGTCTCTCCTCCCGGCGGACCGGAGGAGGACAGCTGTCACTCATATGACCCGGGAGGGGACTGCTTGTCGCCCGGGGTACTGCGGCAGGTCTCTGAATGGTGTCACTAACACGACCCGGTACTGGTCGGACAGGGACAGTAGTTAGTAGGCGGTGTCTGGGGGTGCCACTAACACGACCCGGTACTGTTCGGACAGTAGTTAGTATCGGGTGCGGTGACTGACGTGCTCTAACCCGGTGTTGGCTCGCTGAACCCCTCTCCTCAACCATTCACATGGTCCTGTACGACGATTTTGAGCCTCTCCGTGCCTGCTCACCCATCAATGTCGGCTCCATTGTCCGAGCCGCTCAGGACCGGTTGATTCCTGGTCCCTCCCCTGTCCTGTCGGTCCCTCGGGACTGCCCGGTCCGTCCCAGTTGCGCCCTTCCGCCCTCCATCAGCCCTGCTCTGCACGCCCCCCCCCCTTTCCGTTCCTCTCGGCCGCCCCTGGTGTGAGGTGCCGGTACTAACACTCCGTCTGCCCGCCGCTCGTCTCCGTCTCCGTCTCCGTCTGGCCGCTCTCTGCTGGTCGCGTCTCCGGCCACCTCTGACCGCCGCGGTGAGTACGGACCCTGAGACACAGCGGACACCACGGCGCGATGGTCTGTCCCATTCCGTGAGATTTTCTCCTTCGCTACCGTCGCTGCTGCCGCCGCCGCCGCTGCTGTTCGTGCTGCTGCTGCCTCTGCGGCTCCCGCTGGTGCTTCCCCCACTGTTGCTGGTGCCGGTGGTGCCGCTGCTGGTGGCTCTACTGCCAGTGCTGCTGGTGCTAGTGCCGTTTGTGTTGGTTTGTTTGTGTTGTTCCTGCTGCTTTTGGTGCTGGTAGTGCCGCTGGTTGCGTTCGTTGCTGGCTCTCTGCTGTGTTCACGGAACTATCGCGCTTCAGTCACCTGTGCGTCCTCCCCGCGGCTGTTGGCGGCCAGGGATGGGTCAGGGGCGAATCCGCTCCGACTCCGCTGGGTGGTGGTGGGTGGCTGCTCGGTCCCGGTATCGCCCGGGATTTGTGTGGGGGCTGGTGAGCTGGTGGGCTACCTCGGCCCAGGAGGCGGCACCGCGCCAGGTCACAGACGCCGCTTCTGGCCGTGCTTTCCCAGCTGCGGCCGCGGGCTGGCGTCTGTGACGCTCCTTCGTGGCACGCTGTGGCAGTGTGTGGAGGGGTGGGGAGAGCCCTAATGAGGTGACCAGCCGGCTGAGGGGAGTGGACGCTTGGTTCAGCCTGTAGCGCAGTTCTGTGTAACCTGTCTTACGTGTTCGTGTTCACATGTGGTCAGGTGACCGGCCACCAAACCATCAGCTGGCGTGCTGCTTACAAGGGGTATGGTGCCTGCTTTCAGCTTTGTGCGTTTTCGCTTACAAACAGCACCAACTCTTGTTACCTTACGAGCTCAGCTGCGCCCCGTTCTGTTTGTGTCTGCTGCGCTGCTTTCGCTTTTCTCTGCCGTTTGTATGGCGCTGCCGTTCCCAGCTCTGTGGTCTGGCATACCGTCTCCCCACCCTGGGCGGTAGGTCAGGTCTGGCGTACCGTCGCCCCACCAGCGTTGGAGGTCGGGTCTGGCGTACCGTCTCCCCACCCCGGATGGGAGGTCGGGAGTGGTGTACCGTCTCCCCATCATGGGTGGGAGGTCGGGTCTGGTGTGCCGTCTCCCCATCATGGGTGGGAGGTCGGAAGGTGTTGGGAAGGATGGCGCCACCCTGGCCCAACGCATCCTCTAGTGGGCCGGGGGATACGGACTTGCTCAATGACTGTCGAATTTCGATACGGTACTGAATGTATTTATTGGTAAATAACACATTTATTGGTTATTGATGTCGGGTTGGCCCTGCCCTTCCCCTGATCGCACACCGCCGGCTGGGCACTGACCGCTGCCCTTTCCCGGCTGGGCACTGACCGCTGCCCTTCCCCGCAGAACAATATGGCCAACGCGTCATTCGAATCGTTTGTGAAGGAGGACCTGGACAGCCTGCCACCCAACCAGCGCCGGAAGCGGATACAGAACCGGATGGACGACCTGGCGGCCAAGATCAGCCAGGAGACGTCCACCAGGTGAGCGGGGCGGCCGGGCGGTGGACGGTGGACGGACTGTGGGCGGTGGTTGGGCGGGCGGTGGGCGGTGGGCGGTGGACGGCCGGGCGGCTGGACTGTGGTCTGTGGTTAGACTTTGGGCGGACGTGGACGGACTGTAAACCCTGACCGGACTTTGAGCGGTCTAGATAGGAGCTGTATTCGGTAGACGGACTGTGGACGGTGGTCGGGCTGTGGACGGACTGTGGACGATGTACGGTGGGTGGGCTGTGGGCCGTCTGTGGACGGGCTGTCGGCAGCTGACAGACTGGGGGCGGGCGCGACAGACCGGCCGGTCTAGCGGCCGACAGTCGGTCCATAAGTCGGTGAGTGGTGCCGGTGTACCGGGTGGGACTGTGCCGGTGGACCGGGCGCTGGTCAACTGTGAACTGCTATCGGAGGAGGCTATCGGAGCTGTGCCGAGGGACTGTCCACAGGAGGTGTATGACCGTCTTCGGCTGTCTGCCCCGCAGGGACGGTCTGATGAAGATGAAGGGCGTGTACGAGAGTAACCCGGCGCTGGGCGACCCGCTGACGATCGAGTCCCAGCTGAGAGAGAACACCCAGAACCTCGAGCGGCTGAGACTCGAGCTGCACAAGTTCCAGAGGTCAGTGCGGGAGCGGACCCAGCGGCGGTCGGACCAGGGGCGGGCGAGGGGAGTGGCCGAGCTAACACGGCATCAGCTGACCTGAATCGGGCCTGGTGCGACCTTTGCTGACCTCTGGCAGGTTGCTGGACGGCGGCGGCCGGATCAGCCTCAGTGAGTCTCTGACCTGACCTGACCTCAACTGACCTGACCTGACCTCTGGCAGGTTGTTGGACGGCGGCGGCCGGACCAGTCTCAGTGAGCCGGACAGCAACCTCAGCCGCTCGGCTAGCGACTCGTCCATGGCGCGATCCGGCGCGGCGGCGCAGGGTCAGTCGGCGCCCTCCACGCCGCCGGCCAGCCACGGGTCAGTACCACTGGGGAACGGGCGGGTCAGTGGCAGCCACTGGTCACACGGGGTCAGTCGGCGCCCTCCACGCCGCCGGCCAGCCACGGGTCAGTACCACTGGGGACGCAGTGTTAGTAGTTAGTACATCAGGGGGACACAGGGCCAGTACCACTGGGGAGCGGGCGGGTCAGTTTGTACTGGGCAGTGGGGACGGAGGGTCAGTGTTCTCAAGCGGATCCACAGACTCGATAGTAAATTGTGTGTACTGTGGACTTGTGCTCTGAATTTAACTATTTTCAGTTTTCACACTTGTTTGTATTTCATTCTGAAGAACCTGGTGCAGGTTAGAAAGCTCAGTGTCCCAGACTCTCGCTCACATACCTAGGAGGTCGAGTGTGCGGTAACGTTAACTGTTAGCGTGCCAGGTCAGAGGTGTTGTTTGTTTGCCCTATGGGCGAGGTAGCTGCAACAGCTGCCCCGGGTGGGAGCCATGACCCATAGATCATAAGTGTGTGGTGCTGTTATCTGACCGTGCTTTGACTGTGCTCTGATTGTGTTCTGCTGTGGTTACTGTGCTCCGACTGTGCTGCGCTGACCAGATGCTCCAACAGCCCCGAGTCGGGTATGTGTTACTGTGCTCTGGCTGTGTGTTACTGTGCTCTGGCTGTGTTCTGACTGCGCGGCGCTGACCAGGTGCTCCAACAGCCCTGAGTCGGGCCTGGGCACCTCGCACACCTCGCTGCCGGACTCGGAGTCTGACGAGGACCACGCGGACGGCCCGGCGCCGCCGCCGCCGCCGCCGCCCGGCGCCGACGACTCCGAGCAGGCCGAACACGAGGCCGACTTCAGCTACGGCGACGAGCCGGCGCTGCCCGTGCTCGGCCAGGCCAAGGCGCTCTACGCCTTCGACGGTGAGTGACGGAGGCGTCCCTTCTGACAGACAGGTGGCGCTGGAGGGCGGCACGGGGAGGGCAGACAGAGGGGCGCTAGGGACACAGCGGCAGGGTAGTGATCGCCGTTGGAGGAATGGTGGTAGCGATACGGCTGTCGGCTAGATCCCCGGAGTAGGCTGCTTTGGTTTGTCCGATTACCTGCGGAGACTGCCACGCTCACGGCGGCCTCTGCCTGTCTGCTCCGGTCCGGCCGCACCCGGGTGTTATCTATCGCTCACACTGCTGTCTGAGCACTGAGCAGTGTGTCAGGGACCTTCTGTCTGTCAGTCCGGCCGGTATGGGCTGTCTGGGTGTGTCGGTGTGTACTGTCGGTCTGTGTATGTGTCGGAGGTAGTGCAGTGACCGGCCGTCCCACCCGACAGACGTGTTGGCCGACTTGTCCGCCTCGGACGATGACATCGTGTGCCTGCCGCTGCCGCCGATCGGCTCCGGCCGCGGCCTGTACCACTTCCCAGGTCACTGAGCTGTGCCGTGTGTCCGTCCGTGTCCGTGTCCGTGTGTGTGTGTGCGTGTGTGTGTCCAGGCCTCCCCGGCGCCGCCAGCACGGCCCCTCACTGTGCCACGGCGCCGGAGCAGCGGCCGGCGCCTCCCTCCCTTTCCCCGTCCTCCCCGGCGCCGCCAGCACGGCTATTCCCAGTCCCACGGCGCCGGAGCAGCGACCGGCGCCTCCCTCCCTCCCCGTCCTCCCCGGCGCCGCCGCCGCCCGCGTTTGGTGTTTGGCTGCGCGGTGTCGAGGGCCGGCGGTACTACCAGCCGTCGCCTCCACTCGCACTACCCCGCGCCGCGGGTGTTTGCCTCATTGGTTGGTGTTTGTGTGCACTCTAACTTCTTACCCATCGGCGCATACGGCCGAATATAATAGCCATGACGTCGTATGCACTTCGTATTATCGATGCATTGCCGTAGCACGTATTTGGCTCAGTGTTAGTCGTATTAAACCCATTGCCGTTACAGGAACGATCCCTATTGTTGTATTTAATAGTGTTCTAAGAGCATGCTGTCGCCTGCCTCAGTAAACAGTAATTTTGCCGTATCCGCTATCCTCCCGCGCCGCCGGGGACCCCCACTGCACACAGTCTGTACTGGCCATCTGGGTTAGAGGGTGCCTCTGCAGGCGCAGCACCGCTTAGACATAGGTGTGGTGGGCCCCGATGTGCCGGCACTGGCTGTCCGGCTGTGAGTGGCGCGAGTGGCGGCACACATTCGCCGCCGTCCGCCGCCGTCCGCCCCACGGACTGCTGATGGGGTTATTGATGGCGGCCGTCGTGCCGATCAGGGCGCCGTCGTTTTTACCGTGCTCCGCCGCGGCCCAGACGTGATATATGGGCGCGGCCTGCCGCCGAAACTCGCCAGCCTAATTTGACAGCAGCGTGCGCCCGACAAAAGTTGGATCGAAACGGCCACTCTGATTAACTGTCCATGATATACTGCGCTGCGGCTGGGTGGCGGATCCCAACAGGCCATCAGCAGCAAATTGTAGCTCTGTTGTAATGGAACATGATCCGACCCACGCTCGAAGTTTGTAGCAAAAGGACATCTTGTTTACATCGCCTCAGCTGACAGACAAAAAATGACTGAATGTGCACTGATTCAAAGTGGAAACAATGTGCCTGGGCGAGCATCGTAGTTCTGTATTATGTATAGCCGTAACTGGGAGTATTTCTTATAATTTGGCTAACGACACTGCATTCCGTCGGTAACCTACCCGTCACTGTGACCCCTGTCCCATGATTACACTGACCCTGTCTGTCCGTGCAGCCGCCAGCGAGGGGTCAATCCCCCCCGCTTCCGACAGCCCCCCCCCCCCCCGCCGGTCCCTGACTGTCCGTACAGCGGTCAGCGAGGGGTCCATCCCTCTCCCCCGCTTCTGACAGCCCCCTGGTCCCTGACTGACCCACTGTCTGTCCGTACATACAGCGGCCAGCGAGGGCTCGATCCGTCCCCCCCCCCCGCCTCTGACGGCCCCCGGTTCCTGACTGACCCCCTTTCTGTCCGTACATACAGCGGCCAGCGAGGGGTCCATCCCCCCGCCTCTGACAGCCCCCGGGTCGCTGACTGACCCCCTGTCTGTCCGTACAGCGGCCAGCGAGGGCTCGATCCCGATGCAGGAGGGCGAGCAGCTGCTGGTGATCGAGCTGGACCAGGGCGACGGCTGGACGCGCGTCCGGCGTCACGACAGCCTCGAGGAGGGCTTCGTACCGACGGCCTACCTGCAGGTGCTGCTGCACCCGGCCTGCTGAGGGCGGATCAGGTCAGCGCACACCGAGTCACAATCTGCTGAGGTCAGGTCAGCGTGCAGCGTGCCTGGGCGGCCGCGCGGCGCGCCGCCGCGATCATATCAGAGCGCTGCGGCCGCCGGCTGTGATAGGCCGGCGGCCGGCCGGTCAGGTCAGGGGTCGCGGCCGGTCACCGCGGCTGCCGGCGGAGTCGGCCGACCACCGTCCGCGCGGGGCGGCGGCCGGCCCGCGGCAGTGTCCCGGGACCCTGGCAGTCCATGACACAGCGTGCGGAGAGGACGTTTGTACCGAGTACGACACTGTACCCACACATGACTACGACAAGTATACTGAATTGTTTAACCAGCCGGCTCGGCGGACCGAGTTTATACCCTGTCGACTGGGCGGCGCTCGTTGCCGTTTTATGTTGCGTGACGCCGTGCGTCGCCGCGCTTAGCTTTAAGGTCGCCCTGTGACGCCGGGGAGTTGTGTCTGTTTGTTGTCGGCAGGCCTCGGCGGGCGCTCGGCCGCTGGGGCGTGTTTGTATGTTTGTCTTCCGACCGGGTCCGCCTTCAGGCTGTGACCGGGAGTCCGGTGTGTGACCTGTGTCCAGTGTCCGGTCCGTGACCTGTGACCGGGGTCGGGTCTGTGACCAGACGGTGACAGCCGCTGTTCGGAGTGTGACCGAGACGGTGTGTGTCCGTGCGGCGGTCGCTGGTGTGTGTCTCTGTGTGTGTTTGTACGTGTGTGTGTGGATGCTGCCGGCGCGTGGTTACGTGATATTCATAAACAGTCGCGGTGGGCAGAGCGGCGCAGGCCGGGACCACTGTTTTACCGCCATCACCATAACTCAATACAGACGCGAGGACCTTCCCAGCCGCGCCTGTGGGCAGTGTGAGCCGGGCGCACGGGGCGGGGTCGGGCTGCTCAGGAGCGGGACGGTGGGGGGACGGCCCGGTCCGCCACCCCTTCCTCCTGCAGGGGGGTCGGCGGGGGCAGACCGGGCCGGCTACCCAGGGACGGCCCGGTCCGTCACATCGGCAGTGGCAGACCGGTCCGGTTACCCAGGGACGGCCCGGTCCGCCGCCCGCCGTCAGTGGTGGTGGTCCCCCCCCCGGGTATGGGACAGCGCCGAAACCGCTCACAAATGCCCTGCTTCAGGGGCGATCTGCACACATTGGCCACCTCCGTGCTCACATTCAACGTTACAGAAAGAGGATAATCTGTATTCACGAGATAACGCGGCATCATCCATGCTACTTCCACGCTGACGCTACGTCGGTGTCAAAACGGATTCACCGGCATCCTTAGCGCTATTCCACTGTTAAAAGCTCTAAACAGGTTCTAACCTGTGTCTTGTACGGGTAGACGCGCGCGACAGCACACGATCGGAATACTATCACTAACTAGCATCTAAATATATCGGACCTACTTGGCTGAGCTGCTATTGTATCCTCAGCTGTTTTACGACTCACGACACTACGATGAACTTTTTGACTCTCCTATAACTTGCCACATGAGCGTGCGATGGTACCCTCATCGTCCGGTGTGACACTGTCCCGGACACGTCCCCAGTCTGTGTGACACTGTCCGGGACCCCCAGGCGGTGTGACACTGTCCGGGACACGTCGTCCCCAGTCTCTGTGACACTGTCCGGGACACGTCCCAGGCGGTGTGACACTGTCCGGGACACGTCCCCAGGCGGTGGGACACTGTCCCGGACACGCCCCCAGGCTGTGTGACTGTGTGACACTGTCCGAGACACGTCCCCAGTATGTGACACTCCGGGACCCCCAGGCGGTGTGACACTGCCCGTGGCGTGTCCCCAGGCGGTGTGACACTGGGCAGTGTGACTCCTATAGTGACGCTGACCGGCCCCGGTTCTCCGCCGCCGGCCGTCCCGCGCCGCCCGCCCGCCCGCTCGGCGGTGACGTACGGTGACTAGCTGCCCGGCGGGCCGGCCTTGTACTGTTGGCACTGCTGCGTGTCAGCTCAGCTGCGGCGAGCGGGGACCGGCGGCCGCTCAGGTGCCCGCGCCGCCGGCAGGGTCCGTGGGGTCCGTCCGGTCCGGGCTGAGGGTCAGGTCGGCAGGGTCCGTGTGGCCACTCCCGTCCAGGCTGAGGGTCAGCAGGTCGGCCTGGAGCACCATCAGCTGACTGCGCGTCACCTGGTGCTCCCGGGAGACGGCCGCCAGCTGCTGGCTCAGCTGAAAAACACAAACACAGTGGCTCACACAGTGTGGTAGGGCCGCCACTTCGCTGAGTCAGATACAAAAGCCACCACAATGTGTCCTTGCTGGGCCGGAGACAAACGATAAGAGGACGGCCATTGATCCACCTTACTGCGAGGGCTGCCGGCTCCACCCTCCAACCACCTCCAGTTCCCACCGGACCCGCGCTGAACCCCTGTGGTCCGTCTGACCCCCGCCAGTCCCCCGAACCCCCGCGGCTGGTACGCACCCTGTCTGCGCGCTCGGGCAGGCCGGCCTGGCGCTGGCGCAGCTCGTCCACGGCCGTCGTCAGCTGACCGCAGCCCACGTCCAGCCGCGCCAGCTCAGCCTGCAGTGCGGCCGTCCTGGCGTCCAGCTTGGTCTCCAGCTGCTCCACCTCCCGGATCAGCACCGAGGTGGACTGCTTCAGCGCGCGCGCCGCGCCCGTCCTGCCGAGACGCCGGGGTGTGAGCTGACGGCGGAAATCACCTCACAGAGACGGTACCCATCCCGGTCCATGGCCACAGCACTAAGTCTGCCTCTATCATATCCGTCCCTCCCCCGCTCCGCCCTCCACCCTCCATCCGTCCCTGTGTCGGCACTCACCCGTCAGTGGCGTTGAGCCGCCAGCTGAGGAGGCGGCCCTCGCTCTCTGCGCCCTCCACCCGGCGCTCGAGCCGCTCCAGTCGGCGGCGCTGTTCGGCCAGGCCGGCGGCCAGCTCGCTGCGGTTCCTCTGGTCCGCCACCTGGCGCTCGTCCAGGCGCAGCTGTTTGTCGTACAGCACCTCCAGCACGTCCGCCAGCACGCGCTGCCGAAACCGGGCGCCCGCCGACCGGCGACCGTGGCGCCGCCGCCGGCCGCCCGACGAAACTCCGGCGGGCACACCCAGCAGCAGCTCGCGGCGCAGTGCTGACACCTGGCGGCAGCAGATAGAATTGATACTACCGGCCGGGCGCAGAGCCCAGGACAGATGGCGTCCACCGTCTGTCATGAACGTCTGTTACTGTGGCGAACCCACTTTGGCAGGTAACCGGGTCCCAATCGGGGAGCACGTGGCTGTGGCGGAGAGGAGGAGAGGAAGTGCCGATGTGCTCTATGGAGCGGTGTGTCTACGGGCGGTACCGTCTCCCTGCCTTAGAAGTTAGACGTATATCGGACATAATATGCAACCAGTTTAATCATACCCATGTGTCTATTAATTTCATAAATTATCCTGTATAATTTACAGTTACGATGTTTCGCATCATAAATAACGTACCCTGGGAGTGCACCCGACCCCTGGCGTTCCGCCTTCAGTGGCTCATGGCTCTATTAGCGACAGGCGAATGGAGGCTCTGGGCGTAACCGATGGCTTTTGCTGCGACCTAAGGGAATGTTGATATGTAAATGGATAAATAAGGACAGAAGAGACACGTTCTCTGCCACCGTAGTTTGGCAGTGAGAGATCAAAACTAACTCTAAGTTTTACTTTTACCGCTCCCCGGCCGAGGATGGCAGTCACTCCTGGACGCCCTATTGTAGTGGTGTCAATTTCAGAAAACGTATGTCCAAAGTCCGTCCAATGTCCAATGCTTACGTCGATTGTCCGTCCAAAAATGTCCAAGCCAGCCATTTGTCCAAAGATGTCCGACACCTACGCAATAGTTTACACTCAACACTGTTATCTAATTTGCTTTTCATGTACCGTTATAAGCTCAAAAGTGTTAATCATATCGAATGCTGAGCTTTCTAATAGCCAATCAATGTTAAACACGACTACTCTTTAAAAATGTTGAGGTGTAGCAAGCGATTGTCCAAAGTTGTCCAAAGCCTGCGGTCATTGTCCAACCGAATTCCGAATTGGACATTGGACAAAATCGGAATTCCGAAGATTCAAGTTCCGATTGACACCACTACCCTATTGCTATAGCTCGGAATGTGCTCACAATACAGTCCAAGACCAGCCCAACATTTGGGATACCGCCTGATCTTCGATCAAAACCAAATCTTCAAACACCATCCAGCCGCACTTTAAGATCAAGTCAGGTCGCCGACATGACGTCATAAAGGTAAACCTCTCCACCGAAGGACAGCATCAATGTGATTATCTGGAACCGTTGTATCAGTTGATCCGGCAGTTTTCTGACCTATAGCGCGTCCCTGCAGAGCAAGGTAAAACGGCTAACTGGAGGGCACGAACTCAGGGGTATGACTATTAACCCGCGCCCTGCTGGGGGGGGGTGTTTGAACACCCCCCCTTGTGGTTTTTCGCAAATATCTCAAAAACGGCGGCGCGGAGCGCCGCCGTTTTTGGTACACCTTATCATACATCAATTCTACACATGTTGTGAAAATTTCAGACCAAGGTCATTCAAGGTCAGGTCACCAGGTCACTTGAAGTGACCTCACCTCATAAAAAGTTTCAATGTCTGTCATAGCTACACCGAGTGACCGATCGCTTTGAAACTTTCAGCGATTGCTAAGAGTAATAGCATGTACAAAATGTTTATCTCAGAATTTTGATATCGATGACCTAAGGTCAGGTCAATTTTGCGACCTCCCCATTATAAGTCAATGGGAGAAAATTGAAATGCGCCTCTTTTGGACGAAAGACATTATAAACACTCCCAAACACTGAATTACAAGTGGTTTAGACACACTGAACATGAAAATAGTGTCCGTGACCCCCTGTTTATGCCCTGAGGTCATCTTAGGTCACGAATGGTATCTAACAGTTTTTCGCAAATAACTTTTGATAGAGGCATGCTAGAGCGATGAAAACGCCTTAGATGTGTTCAGCTCGACGATACGGATCGACTGATATGCAACATGACCCTTTCCGGTCAGGTCATGACCTTGACCTGAGGTCAAATTTTCAACTTGACCTTTCAAGGTCAAGTTATAGTTCACTCGATGCGTCTTGACGAGAGGAACACGATGCCGGTAAAAGTAAGCTCGTACAAGGCTTGGGTCAAAAGCTATTGCAGAAAAACTGTTTCCGAAAAAATCGGCTATTTTTGCAGTTTTTGCCCCCTGCAGGCAAAACCGTTGACGTTAGGTCAAATCTGAGAGAATTACTCAGAAAGGGCGTTAATAGGGCTATCGAATGCGCTTTTCCGCGGCGCTGTAGCTCTATTGGTTCCCGAGTTATGCGTTGGCTTCTTGGAAATTGTCGACATTCGACCTGGAAATCGGCGAAATTTTGCCTTCAATGACCTCTGGTGACCTGACCTTTGACCTGACCAAAAAATTGACCGAAGTGATTTCCTCATTATTTTTGATGCTCTTTCGAACGCCACCTTCCGCGTATCGCTACGTGGCCCAGGAGCCGAGTTAGAAGGGGGGGTGTTCAAACACCCCCTCCCAGCAGGGCGTGGAAATCCAGGACCCCCAGCAGGGCGCGGGTTAACCCGCGCCCTGCTGGGGGGGGGGGGTGTTTGAACACCCCCCCTTGTGGTTTTTCGCGAATATCTCAAAAACGGCGGCGCGGAGCGCCTCCGTTTTTGGTACACCTTATCATACATCAATTCTACACATGTTGTGAAAATTTCAGACCAAGGTCATTCAAGGTCAGGTCACCAAGTCACTTGAAGTGACCTCACCTCATAAAAAGTTTCAATGTCTGTCATAGCTACACCGAGTGACCGATCGCTTTGAAACTTTCAGCGATTGCTAAGAGCAATAGTA